GATTCTACGGTAATTATCCTTATTGTTACATATACAACAGAAAATATATTTTTGCAATTAACGTCGTTAAAAAAGTCTACATTCTTTGTTACTTATTCTTTCTAATTCTGTAGGATGTCTAATTTCATTTAATTGTAACGGTAATTAAGTTAATTAAATTAAAAAACATACAATGTAAGATAGGTGAACATTTTTCAATTTCATGAAGGATCGCATAATTTTGGAGACTAAGATATGCGCGTGAAATGAGATCAAACACGACTTAATTTGGATTATATTTACTGGTTTAACCGATGGTAATTTTGATTTACACAATTTTTACAACATATTAAGCTACATATTCAGAAAACGACTTCAAAGAATCTAATTTCGATCGAAGACTGTATCTCTTACAATTTCTACGATAGGTTAACCAACTTACAAAGGAATAGCACGCGCATTGTATCCGAACGCTCCGAATAAACAATGCTCGATGAAAAAATAGTAAATCAAAGGGGAAAGACGTCGGTAAAGGGAGTTTGGTTTTCGAGGCGATGCGCATGCGAGCGCCTCCGACTTATGGAAGTTTAGCCGTTAACTTAACCGGCGTTTACCTTAATCTAAGATCAGCTCTGGCCTGCCGCGTGCACCACTCGGTATAATGTATGGCCGTATGAATATGCATTGGACACGGTATGAGGTCTGGCAGCGATGTAAACGCGTGAACGTGTGCCCCATAGCGACGCTACGTTCACCTATGCGAGCGAGGTGAGCGTTCGTTCAGCTTTTGCGAGTGTTCACGTGTTTGCTCAAGCTCGCTTTGCCCGCGTACGCGGCCGCTGATTCTTTGCACACACCCACAATCGATTTAAACAGCTTAACGTACACGTACCGATTATTGTTTGCGAGCATCGGCTCGTGAGAACCGGGCGAATTCGACTTCCAGCGATTTCGGCTGTTTCCTCTTATGGATCTTAATCTTTACTGGATTATCGCGCGCAGAATCTTGGTTAGCTCGTTTCTCACCGAAGTCGGGTTTAAAATAATCTGGGGAACATCGTCTATTTTCCTGAATGACTGTCATCTTCGAGTCTCCGGTCATTCGAATCGCCAACTCGTAATAAGCGATCGCAAATCGTAATGCGGCTGTCGTTTATAACCTGTTGGTAGTATACCCAAGCCTAGCAAACCTCGACGGTCATGAAGTAAACATAATTTACGGGTAAACGTATTACCGCTGAAGCCCATTGCGATCGATAATCATTTACAATCTGTTTAATGACGCATTCAATGATACACATTTCGTGGGTAATTTTTTCTTTCGAATAACGAAGTAACGGTTCGTATCAGTTTTCGTTGAACGTCGTTTATAGCGTTTCGGTAGCGTAATGTCGGCGAAGAGTATCAACTCGAAGAAGGTTAAACAGCGTAAAACGTTCCTCTCGAGGCGAATCCTTGACGCTCGTAATTCAACGGGAACAGGATTTGATTTTTTCCGAAAGAGGGTCGCGCGTGGGCACAGCGCGAGCGCAGGTTGCACGCGCGAAACACTGTCCGCTCGCGTGGGAGTAATTTGTGAGCTCGCGAGTGCGTTTCGTGCGTGCCGGCCGATACGAGCCTCACGGAGGAAGCAAGTGGAAGGTGGATCCTTATCTGGCCGAATTTTACGAGTGTTTTAAAGGATCGTTAATTTTCGGACGTTTATCGCTTAACCGCCGTGATCCTTCTCTCCTTTCTTCCTCTTTTAAGGACGGTGCCGATCTGACTCGGTTCAAAATTCAACGGATTTGCCGAGTTCCGTAAAGCGAAACAGGTGTTTATAAAACGTCCCTCACGAAGTCTTTAACTGTTCGTTACTTTGATATCGAATGTCAGGCATGCATGTTCACATACGTCGCGAGTGACGTATCAATTACTCGATCTCGAAGTTTGAAATTTTTATGTTTCTAACTTTGGAGCTTCTTGAATTTATTCATTCTCCGATTTCTATATTTTATGTATCTCATATCTCCCTTCTTCACCTTTCTCATAAATCTCGAAATCCTCAGTTGTCTGCATTTTCGAATACACTTTTGACCACCCCTAACGAAGCAGCAAAAAAGCGATTATAGGAACCGTCACAAAAGGCAGGTATTTCGAGCTATTCGATACGAACGATGTTTCGTGTCGAGTTCTTACCAGCCGGAAACTGTGTTCCTACCTTTACGTATTTTTATTTCATCGTAAAGCGGTTTTTACGAGCGATTTGTAACATATTTTGTGAAACATTTCACTCGGTCGAAACGTGAAACGCTGGAATTAGGTTATCAAACCGATGTGTATAAGTTTTCTTTTTATCGACGGAATCGTTACGACACGAGCGTTTAAGATGCCGTTTTACGAAAAGCTGGTTCGAAAGCTCGCTCTAGCGAGCGAAAAGAGGTAAGCTACACGGGGATTCATGAAGGTTAATTGCAAGTTGATGAGAACAGTTTTAACGCTTTTAACTTTTCACTTCGTCTTCCAAGCCGGACGGTCAGACTCTCATGTATATTTAATAAGCGACACGTGGGTTCACTTGTCTAAGCTGTTCACGCGATACGTCTATCCTTGTTAATTGGACTCGCGGCCAGCTTTAAAAGATTCAACAACCTAAGCGCATCAGTTCACACCTAGCTGATTCTTGAACAAGATTTTCCGATTTCTTATGCGCTGCGTTGGAAACGGAACAAGGATTACAAGTCGAGTAACATAATGTCGAGTAAAATAAATACTGCGCAAACGGAAATTTTTTCTTACATGGATTTGCCACTGGGGCAAGAGGTTTTACATAATTTCATACACGATGCAATAAAGAAAATAATGGAAACTAAGAGTCAAAAGATTGGAAATCTTTATGCTAGACACCGTGTAGAGAAGTCGGTAGCGTGAAAAACAACGGTTAGACGATTAGGCAGATCGGTTTGAGGGAAGAAAACGCTTTGCTCGTCGTTGTTTAACGACGTCGAGAGCTTTCGGTTTCGTCGCCTTCTGGTCCCGACACTCGTGACTAATTCTCATGTTCCTTTAATGAGCCGCCCACAAACGAACGCGTTAACGTTTCCAGGTGCAGGTCGCACGCGGCAAAAACGTATGCGCGTATCCGCAAAAGGGCAACGCTAGGCGTAGGTGCAAACACGGAGGGAGAGAGAAACAAGGGGTGAGAGCGAAGGAAAACTAAGCGGCGCGTTGCCTTCTTGCGGCTAGCCGTGGTTTAAATCGTGTCACGGTTTGATAGTCTCATTACAGGCTCCGTTAACCTGTTTTTTCATCGAAGCAAGACCGCTTAGTACTTTGCCTCGTTCATACAGCCACGCGGGAGAGGAAAGCGAAAAAAAGACACTGATGTATCGTTTCACTTTTCTTTTCTTTGACTCTTAACATCTCATTTACTTGTACACGATCAAGCTTTTATCCTTTGATACTACTTCTTTACTTAGGACTTTAATTAGATCTACATTACTTTAAGCGTTCAGTCGTTTAGATCGAAGCAATTAACGAAAACTGTAAATTCAAGAAATTCTACATAATTTACTCTCGATACAAGTTCTAACAATATTTACTTGTTCAGTCTAGTGACTAATTAATTTTGCAACACTCTGTATCCCGCATGGTGGACTGTTCAGAGTCACCCCGATTCATTGACCGAAAGTAGAAGGTTGACTAACGACGAATAGAGAAGCGGTTCGTTACGATACTTCGAAAAAGGAAACGTAACTTTCCACCAAAAATTTCGCCACCAGCGGGTCACTGAATCGAATCTAACGACCATCTGCTCGAAGGTGTTTCGTCCTCTTTCGCTCGATCGTGGACTATGCCAACTCTCTCCGCTCGAATTTTCGATCGCGTATTGGCCGTTCTTCTGGAAATCGTTCACACTCGAAACAATGTCCATCGATATCCGCGAGGAATAATTATAAGGGTATTATTTGGCTCGGCTGGAAATCGAATTAGACACGCTACGGCGCGTTTAAATGGAGGAATTACAGAAATTGGGGTAGTGGCATCATTTAATTGGGGGACTGGTATCTATGCCATATGGCGCGTGTACAAGATCGAAGACGCATTTTTTCGTGCAACACCGGAACAACGTGAGCGACGAGTATTTGTTCAATCGCTATAATTGTAGGCGTTATATTACTTCATAACTGAAATTACACGTTTCTGTTAACATAAATTGCCGGAAGATTGAAAAGAATAAATAATGCATTTCTTGTGTTGGTATCTATCGCGTTCCGGGATCGGGTAAAAGAGCATTTGTTTACAGAGGTAATCGAGTTTCTTTTCGAAATATGGACGTAACGCTACGCAAGAGGAGGCGACGCGGGGAATCGGACGTAAAAAGTCAGAATGACCACTTTCTTAACACCCGGTAGAGCCTCGATAAGAGTGGAAGAAGTACGAGGTGGCCCGGTTGATTCGCGCTAGAAGCTCGAAGCTAGGACCACCCTTCGTTCTCGATGGCTCTTCAACCCCTTCCAGGTGGTCGCATCGGACCACTCTCCTACCGCTCGACTGCTTCGGCAAGCGATCTCGAGCGGGCGAGGAGAGGAAGACGAGTGGAACGAGAGCGGTAGAAACGTCGTCGTTCTCCAAAGTGGGAGAACGGTTCGTATCAATCTCTCCCTCGTCCCCTCTGATCCCCGAGCAGCACCCTTCCAGTTCGCCAACACTACGAAAGCCCGCGAGTCGGAGCAGAACCCCCTCTCCCGCCGCTCTAATGAAAGATATTAACTACAATTTTATATCGAATTACCGCTGAAACACATTTCAAATTAGTTGGGCGTAGCCGCGCCACGCAGCGGAGGCGCCGAGCTGTTCGAGCAGCCGATTGGCCGGCTAGTTAACACCGTGGCCGAGGATTGGTCGAGGTAGACCGACAGAGGGGAATGTTCAGGGCGTGCCAGAGCACCGATATGGCCGCCCCAGGAACGAGCGGAGGCGCCTGGTCCGCTCAGTGCTGGCAGATCAGTCGAGGCAACCCGATGCACACGCACGCCTCGCTCCACGCAGCGAACCGCTCCCTGATCAGACAGCCTTTAAACGCTCTTTATCTCCGACCAGCGACAAAGGATATCGTGATCTCGTGCCCGTGCTCGTGCCCGCGCCCGTGCTACGACCTCTCGTTATTTGCCGCGAGTTCCTTCCGCGCGCCGGTTCATCGACGCTACTTCCGGTTAAAGTGAACAGTAATAGCGTTTGAAAGAGTGCAGAGTTGATCCTGGGATGAAAGACGTTGAAGTTCGGTGAACGTTTAAAAACAGATTCGGGATCGAAAGCGGAAAATCGTGTTGAAGGGTGGTTGTCGACAGTGTACGTTGGTCGAATCGCGAGGAAACGAGAGGGAGTTTTCTTCGGTGGATAACTGGTAATTAAACGGTCGAGGAAAAGGAGAGAAAGGAAAGCGGAAATGGCCGGCGGGCTAGCTGTTACGCGTGGCAATTATGTTGAGCGGCCAATTAGCAATTAACCGACGAGAGCAGCGGAGCGGCCCCTTAATTGCGGCTAGGCACAACAACAACAACGAGAGAAGGAAGAAGAGAACCAAGGTGGAGGCGGAGGTGGAGCGACCGAGTGAACGGGCGGAAGCGCAAGGTACATCAGAACCATCTCACGCGCCATTTACTCCCGATTCTCGCTTCGAAATCGACCAAGAACTTCCTTGATCTTCCGTTTAATTAATCCGAGACGGCACGATCGAACGAACCGACAGGAATGTTGAGGGCGAAGCGACACCGGGAAAAGTTCCAACGGTCCACCGGAGGATATCGCTCGAGGATACAGTGAAGTGCGGTTGCTAGCCGGTCAAGGAATATTACGCGAACGCGCTCGAGTTCCTGAAGAAACGCGACGCGGTCACCGTCGGCAAGATTCTGTCTCCCAGGTACCGGGCGAGTCCTGGGGTGGCGACAGAGGCACCTGCAGGTGCCCGTAGCCCGAACGAACCACCTACCTGTACCGTGATGACGGTCCATCATCATCAGAACCACCACGTGGCGGCTCTGAGCGGCGTCACCGTGGCCAATAACGGTCTCAACCTGAGCAGGATGTCCGGCCTGGAGGCGCATCGGCTCGAGAACATCGCCGAGAGGAACGGCGTCAGCGTAGGCCGATTGTCCAACGGACTGGACGCTAGGAACAACAATCACGGTGGGAACAACGGTTTGGAGCGCGGCGACGCTTCGACGACGATGCCGCAGAGATCTCGTTTCATGATCACCGATATCTTGGGGGGAGCCTCGAGCAAGATGCACCAGGCGGGTCTGCAGACGCAGGAATCACCCGGTAGTCCTCCGTCGACGCCCAGGGACCTTAGTGTCAGACACCAGTCGAGGACGTCGTTGAGCAACAGTAACCTCGACGAGGATAGCGACGCCAGTCACCACGATGGCGCTTCCGTTACTTCCAATGGTAAGCGGTCAATTATGTCCTTATCTCGGTTTCGTCGGCCAGCTGCAAATTTCCGCGAAACGGCCACCACGATTACGCCGTTGCACGAAATACTGGCACGTGATCCTACCAGAAACGAATAGCTCAGGAACAAATTGCATATTCCGAATCGAACGCTGCCGTTTCGGGCATCTTTTCAGTCGTGCACGGTACCCTTCGGAGACGAATTGACTAGTTACTAAGCGATCGTTTCGGTGAATGACGCACGCGATCATTTTACAACGCGTACTCGGTCGGACCCGCTAGCCAACGAATCTCCGTACGGTACGCGTGGAGCATGATCGCGATCCTGGACGAGGCGTTGGTTAATTGGTCAAGATGGAATCGAGAAGGGGGAAGGCGTGAAATTAATTTCGCCACCTCGGTTTGTTCACCTGAGCCGCGTGGACTTTCACGCTGAGGTGTCAAGGACATTTATGGGCCGGACTACCGTCCCGACCGGATGTTCCACTCGGCGAGAGAGACCCGAGTTCGCCCGTCGCTGCCGGCTCGCGGAACGAAACGCTTCGGGAATCAAATATTTCCCGCTCGACGAAAAAAGGTCTTCCTCTTGGAAGCCCCTACTATGTCTCGACGTCGTTTAAGGATTTTAATGGTCTTAAATTGGACCTCGCCGATCCTAACGCTTTAATTATCTTACCCTCATTTGTTACCTTCGATTCTTTCGCCCGTAGACTTTCGTTTCGGCCGTTTAAGGGTGTGCGTATTCGAGTCCACCGGTTTTGGAAGATGGACATTTTTCTTTCGTATTTGCTTCCCGATCGTTTTTCGAAAAGCTACGAACCGAAAGTTTTTAAATGGATCGTTAATGGGCGGATAAAGAGAGAAAAGAAGCGCAAAACCAATTGAATCCGGTATTACGTATTCGACGCTGTATTATTCCTGTTAGCGGAAGTGACGAGTTAAAAAATAATGAGCATATCAATTTCAAATTTTAATCGCGTGCAAGATAAATGTTTCCCGAAGACGGATACAGCTCCGAGGTAAAGACACATGAAATATTCATTTATTTATTTTTTTATTTCTTCAAAAAATTCTCTAATTAAATTTCTATTTTCCGAAAAAGAATTCGAAGCAAAACTCTTGTTTCGTCCGGCTCGCGATCCAGCTACGACCCTCGAGGAAATCAGTTGATTCTGATCTGGTTCCCTGATGAATTTAACGAGCAAGTATGATGGAATCTAAACGCGATTCATCGAGTTATCTGAAAACGTTATTGCCGTAAATAGATGCGAATAATCTCCGATCGAAGAGATTAAGGAAGAAACGAGTCGATGGCTTCCTTCATTCATCATTCTTGACCCGTTTACCACGGTTCTCTTTAATTGAACCGATACTCGAGGGATTGTTGACCCTCGTGGACGTAGTATTTCGTGATCGATTCGGATTTCAAAATTTCATAGAACTTGCTCGCTTTCGGCGCTGTCCCCCTAATTAGAGGGCTACGCGGTTTTTTCGGGTTAATGGAATCCCGAATCAGCGTTACTCGCTCGAAATTGACCGTTTCGACACTTCCGTCCATTATCTCCGGTTCGTTCTCGTTTATAAACGTTCTCTCTCGTCGATGCGTGTATCCACGACTGTAAATTCATATCCAAGATCGTTTCCTTGTTTGTATAAACGGGCAACATCGAAGATTATCGATGGGAAAAGAAAAAATCGTAATTACAGTCATTCGTCAGAGTCCGACTGCGGAGTTCGCGAGGTATCCAGCAAAAGTACGGTTAATACCAATCATCTCGAAACAATTTCCGTCAATTTGCGACTGGTTTTTTATTCTTTTTATCCCACTCCATGACGGGTCATTCCCGTTTTACGTGGCTCGTCGTCGATCGACGTTCCACCGCGCTTTCCTTCGAGGCTAAGTTCATACGCTTACATCGTAATCGGCTTGTTTCCCACAAAAAGTACATTAAGAACAATTACGCGCATGACTACGGCTACGTGATTAGAGACACGGTTCCGAGCACTAATACCGCTTCTGACTGTGAGAACCAAACGGAACACCGTTTCTTGCAAAAACGGAAACAACCTTTTATCCTCCTTCGAACAATTCCAACGAAATATCCTCGCTCCCTGATCTCCTATATCTTTTTCCTACTCTCGTGCCTCGATAGCGATCGTAAGACACGTCGTCGACAATTTGTAAGAAGCTGCGTTAGGCGTGAAATACCTCCGTGTGCATTCCTCGGTGTAGGCTTCCCGGAGTTCGCACCACGGAGCCTTTTCAGTTTTCGAACGTGTTGAAATTATCTAGAATTTATAGGCGTAAGTGAAATTTACAACACGATTTAGATTTAAAGAAAGCAGAGAAACTTCAGTGGGAACGATAGACCAAAGGAAAGTTCGTGATTAATTCACCTGTGTGCAGACTCCCTGATAAGATAACGAAATTTGATCGAAACAAAACAAACGATCGAATTTGCTCGTGTTTGTCAAGCTATCGATGTCAACGGCGGACCGATATCGATAACAAGGAAAATAATGTGCATAGAACGGATCGGTCGTGAAAGAGCGAGCGATCACGAAAGGCGATTCGAAAGCTTCGAACGTGGCCGGGGATAGAGTGTGTCGCGATAAATGACCGATATCGTGCTTGGTCGACGCTTTTCTTTCGTCTAAACAGCGTACGCTCGAGGCCGTTATCAGTCGCGGTTAACCTCACGCAGCTAATCGTCGCCGGGCGTCCACTGAAGAATTAATGAAGGCCAATTAGAAGGAGTAACGCGGCGTTGTAATTGCTCGCGAGCACGCTTTCCGGATGATCGAGTCGATGATTAGACAAGATCCATCCTCATTGATCTATCGACGCTTTCGAAATATCGTCTCTTTTTTCCCATAATTTCTCTCGCTCGAGCGACCAGTTTTCTCTTTATCGATACTACGTCCGAGTAATTGCTCCGCAACACGGTGTTGCGTAAATTGCTTCATTCGATTCGACGTTAACGGAATGCTCGTTTCGATTTTCTTTCAGATAACGTCTGCACACATTATCGGAAAACTGCTAACTTTATACGGTTAATTAAATGCAAATACAAAGAGGATTTTAAGCATCGGAAGAGCATGATCTTACAGTTTTCTGATATCTTAAATCGTGTTTGTATTTAAATTTAATTAACCTGCAGCTTTGAGCGAAACATTTTTTACATCAGAGTTAGTTCCGTTAGGTCGGTCTGTAAATTGGCGTGCAAATTACGGAAGTTCTAGTGCAACGAAACACTCGTTAAGATTTTCATCAATAATATATTTTCCTTCGTTATCGATATCTGGTACAACATTCGTTTGTGCTCGTATTTGCTCTCCTTGTTATATGACATCGATTCGCACGAATTTATTACTCTACAACGATAACGTGCAACGACGAATTAGAGCACAAATTGTTCGTAGGCTAATCGTCTAGCAAGTTCTTTCGCGATCGATCGACAACAACCGCGCGTTGTAGCAAAAAGGATTAATATTAGAAAAAGGATGATTATCAACGAGTGGTTATCTTGTACTTGCTTTATGCGTACATTCTAATCTCGTGGGAGTAATTGTTAGGTTGCGCGAGTTGTCCACCATAGCTCGTTCAGTCGAATGAAGAATTAATGAAAGCCAATTAGGAGGAGTAACGCCGATGTAATTGCCGTCGGACATGCTGCCACGGTCTCGACAATTTTCCGCGATCAATCGTAGATTTTTATACCTCGCAGTTTCTTTTATACCTCGAGAATCGAGATACTATCGGACACAAAGTGTCCCACAATAAGCGACACTGCCGAGAATAGAGTAATTCCGCTTGATAAAAAATAAATAGAAATTGTGGAACGAAGAATGCGAAAATTGTCGGGAACATATATTAAGCGTCGTCGATTGAGTTGCCTGAATTTACGACGCCGAGTATCGAATGCTCGTCGCTGCTGACAGGTGTTAGGCTTATCTTAAATCTATGGATTCCCACAATTATTTCGACGGCAAGACGGTATCTTGCGATAGAACATCTTGCTACGTTATACAAAACGATACAAACGCAATTTTTGTCTTTTTAAACGACGAGCTAAGCGCTCTTTCCAAATAAAAAATCTCGATAATTCAGAAATATCAACAATATTCTGTGTTAACGATCGACGACAATTTCTTTCTTCTATCAGCATTAAACGTTAATTGAAACCTATGAAAAAAATGCTATTACTCTGAGGACATTTAATATTGAACCAACAATCTCATTGTTTTCGAGCAGTCGAACAAATGCGAAGTCGACAAGCTGGTATTTATGTACCTAAACATTCTTTCGCAACGTTTCAACGACAGACAGTCGCACCAGGCTGTCGTTGGGATTCGCACGGTTGCTTTTCAACGTTTTCTTAACGAGATTCGCGATCGCAAATCCTCTTAACTAGCTCGTTCCAGCGTTGACAGTGTTGACCTCGCTTTGCTTTACCCATAAACAGACTATTTCTACGTTGTTTTATCGCGATAGAAACCGTTGTACTTAATACTTCAGTTTCCTGTTTCCAATTTTTCATTATTCGATCAGATCGAGGAATCTGTGAAATCGCGACTTATAACGTTCAATAATTTCCGAGCTCGACTTGGCGACGCCGGAATTTTATTAATTAGTCCGACATGTAAATTGGATAAATGAAATTTAATAGCGTATGTTTGTAATAAATACGATATCGATTTCATTTATTAAGAACGTCGGGGAAACCTGTTATCCGAACAAGGATTAAATACATTCGCGAAGGAATATCTTGTTCGTAAGTCAGAAAGGAAGCCACGACCGCGATGGCTCGAAAGGAAGAACAAAAGTTCGAGGAGCGAAAGGTTAAAGGGTTCTCCCTGCGATTCCGTTGGAACTTTCAATTCTCGTGCGTTTAGGACAGCTTTTGACATGGTCGTAAGGACGCGTTCGGTGCCTCGATTATCCGGAGCACACAGGATTAATCCTTGGCCAAGATAGTCTCGTCAAAAAGTTGACA